TCAGAACAATAGTAATTTTAACAAATTTCAGTACAAAAACCATAAAAATCGGGTCAATATCAAGGAATGTTGAACAAGTCTAGTTTGGGCAGGCGATATAGTAATTAAAGATTTTAATAAATAAACGACCTCGTTATTTATAATCTTGTTTTAAAAGTCTAATTCTTAGAATTCAAGACACTTAATGTATAAAATGATTAAATATTTAAGATAATTTTATGTTTTAATATTGCAGAATTAAATTTGCATTAATGTACGTCTGTGAATATATATACGTATTTTTAATCAAATATGAATTGGAGACTGGTTGAGGCAGACTTAAAAATACATTTTCGTTTATTTTAAATAACAAAACTTAATTGATATCAAGGATATAAAAAAGATTGCAAAAATTATACGATATTTTATTCTCAAAATTAGTTTTTTTGTTTACGTAATTTAATTCTTTTTTGTTCTTGATTATGATCAAGTCCGTTGTATACACAATTTTCGATTTTTTAATAGATTAATTCTTCCTACATATAAAAACGAAGAAAGTTTTTTGAAACAGTGCCTAATATAGTATTTAAATCGTACTGATTTGTTTCCATCGCAGCTAAAATTAAAGCTAAAAAATAAAAAATAAAATTTATAATAAATGATACCATAAAATATTCCCACAATAAAAACACAATATGTAATGTTAATATAAAGACACTTCCGCTTTCAAATACTCTCATTACGCGAAGTGTCGAGGTGTTCTCATTAACGGCATATACAACATTTAGAAGTAAAACTCGGCTTACATGACGCTACATAAATACACAATTACAATATAAATTGCATATTATTTATTTATACTCCAATTTTCGATGTCTACATCCGTCATGTAGTCCTAGTATATTTATTATATATGCTTTGTTATTTGTTATTCTTCATAAACGCTCTACAATTATATGTTCTTTCCTAATATGTAGTTTAATTGGTGCAATGCAGTCTGCATATTGCAAATAGAATTAGCATTATTAACATTTACTCAACGTAATTATAAACAACAAAGGATTTTATTTATTAAATGTTTTAATACTGAAGCAGTTTCTATGAATTGAGATTACGGACTTCGAAAAGTATTCCCCAAAACTATAGACGCTAGTATTTTTTGTAAAATGATCTCAATATTCGTATCATATAAGTGTTATTTTTCTTTAATTCCTCACGTCTCTAATTGGTGTTAAAAAATTCATGTACTTCGTCATGAGTTCACACGACACACAATTTAATTATTACTAACTTTAGCCCGCGGCGTCTCACGTTAAAATACAAACATTTTGAAATGCATTTTGTAAATATTTCGATAGAAATATTTAAAAATATTTATTTTTTTATACAAGTAAAGTATATATTAATCATATATACGTAAATATAGAGTAAGTTGCTATGTATACATATGTTGAGTAAAGCAATGAATTAATAAAAAAAATATTTTTTCTATGGAAAAAACAGTTACAAAGTGAATATTTCTATATAGATTTCTCAATAAATAACTCAAGACATGTGAAACTTTTCATTTCAACTATTTCACACAGCGCTAATTAGTGAGTAACATTTTTTTCATGTGAAGAATATCTTCATATTCTCCGATAGATAAAAGAACTTGCACAAATCTAGAACCAAGAGATTAAATGATTAACTAATGAACCAAAAATTTTAATAAATTAAAGAGATTCATCATTCATCTATAATTTATATAATTCTTCATTTATATACTTTTCCATTTATACATACCCTTTTTTTAAATATTTGTCTAGACATATTAATTTATAAGCACTACATAATTCTTTTACTTTAAATATCATCTGTACAAAAAGTTACATGAAATAAACAAGATTTAAATAAAATAATTGTAAGACATATAGCTCATATCAAAAAGTTGCCAAAACTCACTAAAGAGTCGCAGGTTCAAATCCTGATTTTGTTAGTTTTTTTATATTGTTTCACCAAAATCTTCGTATGTTTATTTAGTGAATAATAATAATAATTCGTTTAACATATTAAAGTAACCTCGTTCGTGGGTGTCCGATAGGTACGTGTGTTGAACATAGACCTTATCAGAGTATGTGACTAGTGATACAAAATGGGACTTCATAAGAGAACAAGTGAGTATCATAAGAACATTGATAACATATAACCAGTATATACATATCTTGCAGTGATATTATTTAAATATTGAAAATATTCCTAACATATGTATGTATGAAAACATATAAAAATGTTCAAGTAACATATACATTAATATATTTTATTATGAATATATATCAATGTAAATCTTTATCTTTTTTGGATAATATTGTTAATATTAAGGTACATTCACAAATTTCATTGTAAGTATAATAATACGATTGATCATATAGAGATGACTTTGTATGTCCAATTCACTCTAATTGCATATCAATTTGAATGAAATTGCAATTGCGGTCAATTGTCAGTGAATAAGTAAATAAGAGAGTGCTCTAACGACGTACGTTTGTCTGTGCTGTTTGATGTCACGTATACAGTATTTTATATGTATGTAGTATTTTTAAATATTATATGCATAAATATTTTGTGTTAGGTATATTATTTCGTAATATTTTATGAATTTAGTTACAAAATAAATTGCAGTTTTGTTAAAAATTGCATTGTTAATCAATTTAAATGTAATGGTAAATTATAAGAAAATATTGTATATGTTTATTGTTTTTTGCTAAAAATACCTTATTTATACCTATATGATTTTTTTATATCTGATGTACTAACTGTGTTCTACATATTTATATACTCTTTAAATGCTAATAATAAAATATAAACATCATTGTTTAAATCTCTATACTTTTTTGTTCAAGTGAATGGTTACAATTGCGCCATGACACAAGAAATTGACGACGTACGATTTCTTAAAATCGATATACTTATTTGTTTGTCATACATAAGCGAACTTTTACATAATCCGTATACACATATGTGCAACTTAAAAATTACTTCTCTATACAGTTTTAGTACACTTTAGTACAATAAAGTAAAAAATAAGTGAAGTTAAAAATAAGTTGACAGAGCTTAAAATGAACCTAATTGTACTTTAATAATGAACCTTCCTTATATTCTACATAAACAAGGCTTTAGAGATATTACTTCATTTTAACATCTCTCTGTCAACAAGCAATATTATTTATTAAATGTTGGAAACTAATAATATAAGTGAACATTAAATGGGTGTGATTGGACATATTAATATAAAATTGTGGACATTAAGCTCACATACTACTCAATTATAAAGAACATAAATACAATAAACTTAAAATTAGGATTTGTTGATTGTACGACTTATATTAATTAAATTTATATAACATAATTATTACAAGTATGCAATGACATTAATATATAAGATAAATAATAAATAAAGTATGATGGATTTTTTAAGTTCAAAATTTTATAGCTAAGAACACTTAAAGCCGGTCTTGGCCTGGGTTATGAGTAAAATGACGTGATATTCTGTTGGTACATACGTATAGAGAGATATTTTAAATGAAAAAGTAGCAAATATGTACGGGAATCCATAAAGTAGTCACCAGTCTGGAATAGGCCTTATCAAAGAGTATGAATTACTAATCCTATTTCAGTCTAGACAGCTCCAACTTGGATAAAATTTCTATATAAAATTCCTTTAATATATCAATATTAAAGCGAGAATAACAAAAAAATACACTAACACTATACAAATACAGTGTCGTTAAGAGGGTAGACGTTACCTTAACGATAATTTCCCAACATAATGAGTGTTGTAATAATACCGTTTTGTATAAGGAAATAGGACACATTTGGGCTTTCAAAGTGTTGTCAGCGTTTTTATTATATCTTACAAACTAGTTTATACATGCGGTTTCGTTCACCAATACCTTGTATTTAGTTTTTATATGACACTAAAAGATATGTTTTTTCGTTTTATTCTTGTCTTTTAGCGAAATTTAATTTGTTTCGGAATTGGTTAAAAATGGTTGTAGATATTTTAATCCAAGCTTTTTAGTCAGGAAACTCAAAAGTAAAACTAAAGTTTTATAACATTTTGAAATTTTATTTAATTTAAAGTGAAGAGATAATATACTGATGCACTTTAAACTCTATCATAATCTGCTTCAATAAAACATATTTAAAAAATACATTATACAAGTATTCATTGAGTTTTTTTGCATTAAATTTAATTTTACGTCTCTTTAAGTATAATCATTTTATGGTCGACAATTGTACTTGTAATTAAATATGAATGATTGTGAACAACGTCCACTTGACGGAACACGCTAGGATCAACTAATAGGGCTTCGTCGCATTACATGAAGTCCGCTAAGTGCGTCGGGACTTTATAAATTAAAACCGACTTGACTTATACAAGGACACGCTGTGTTGCTAACCGTCTCAGGAATATACATCCACTTACTATACTAGATCGATAATAATTGTACTGTTGATATCATAATGAATCTATAATTTGCTTAATAAGCGTTCAGTGTTAATTACTAAAATAAAAAGTAAATTCATATTAAAATAACTTATAATCTCTCTCTTTCTTTCTCTGTCTTTCTCTATGTATATATATGAGAAAGTTGTGTTAGTTACACTATTTATAACTCAATAACGGCTGTACGGATTTGGCTAAAATCGATGGGAGGTAGCTTAGAACCATGAGACAGAAATAGGATATTTAATTAAGTGCGATCAAAAAGAAAACAAAGAACGTAATAAAATCCAATATCTGGTTATTTAAGGCCGCGAAGGCAGAATGAAGTTAGCCCGGTCTGCCATATATTACTAATACCTACTAAAATTGATGCCGACGAAATCGCGGGCAAAAACTAGTATGAAATAAAACTAATGTCTCAGGATAGAATTTCGTTTAATCACACATTTGGAACCAATAAAGCGATGTGAATATTGTTATTTTAAACACCATGGGCGATGATGACACTACTAACCAACCATCTTATCAACAGAGAATGGTCGGCTCTCCTACGAGAATCCAAACTACCATTTGGACCCGGCGCGACTCGAGTCTGCCATTTACAGTGAACTATACGACATGCATCAGGACAAAAGCATGCCTCTAGACTACGACAACTACCTCGACAACAGAAGGTAAGCAAGAAAATTTGCAAATAAGCAAGCAAGAAAGCAAGAATTTTCCCTACAGGACCATCGAACACATAATTTTGTACGGAAGCTATTTTTAAACAATCCTTACAAATTACGTAATACTAAAGATTTATTGTAATTACACTAGTGCTAGCTGCTAAATAGAAAATAACATTTAAAGGAATTACTTTGTCCAAACTACTTTAGTTAACTTTACGTTCATATCAAGTTATCAAACAAATTAAATATATTTGCCAAAAAAAAAATATCGTCTCATAGTTAGGATATTTTAATTGAAATCTTAATTGTTTTCATTGAAATCGTCTTTAACTGAAAGCAATGTCTCAGTGAATGAGTATTTTCATCTTTTTCCTTCATTCCATTTCTTTGTTACCCACAAATTTTAATTTTAATTCATTATTTTCATTTCAATTTGGTAATAATAATTCTCGTTTTATCAAATCTGTTGTAATTAAGACGGAAAACAGTAACAGATGTAATTATATATACCCGAATTGTGACTTAAAACACTCGAGGTCATTTGATTGTAAAATTTTGCTAAGCGGAAGTTGGTACTCGGATTAGAAATACGGTTCGATGGTTTGTAATATTAGTAAGAATTTTGATTATAAAGATATCTTTATCTTTTAGAAAGATAATTATATGAATATCGAAATTTATAGCTGGACACGATAGCTCAGTTAGTGAGCTGACGGTAATTGCTGATGTTATAGGTTCGAATCTTGCGCTTTTATTATATATTTTTGGATTCATATTCATCGATAATCTTTTATACCAATAGTATTATAAAAAAAGCTTTAATTATTTAAATTTTGTATCAAAAATATACATTTTCAATTTCCCTGAACGGAAACAATTTACGACTGCTTCGAGTCACCGGAAATTTTTGAAATTGCATATTCGTTTCGACTGAACGTTAGGGCATTGGATCTCGTTAACACAAAATCTTGTTAAGACATTTGTTTTATTAGTTATTGGTAAAATTACTTTCATTACAGTATACACAAGGTTGCCTCGTATACTTGACCGTACAAATCGTGACTCAATTAATGAATGAAATATATTTATAAGGTATGCTAGCGTTTAGCGTTCTTTGCATACCACTACACTAATCACTATTATTATAAAAATATACTACATACTTTTTTGACGTTACTTTTGCTGACAAATTTAAGATATTAATGAAGTGTTTTCTAATCAAAGATGATATTTCTATGATAATTAATTAGTTTGATAATGTACGAAAATATAAGCCATTTTGCGTAATCATTGCATATTTTCTTCATCTTATTCGGCCTTGTCGTATCATACATTTTGTTTCATATTATATTGATAGGCATCAGTATTACCGTCGGTGCATGTGTTACCGTTAACACAGCTGTTTCACGTCATCGAGGCATGACGTTCCAACCAATGAATTCTCTTAATATATCTTAAAAAATATATGAATAACTGTCGTATTAACGAACTTTAGACGAAGAAGATAGTACTAAAATATATTGATTTTTCTTTAGAATCACAACTAAGATAATGAGTCTTCGAGTTTTTAAATTAAGACGATCTTAATATATGTGTCTTTAAAAATATGCCTAACTGATGTATTAAATAACTTTAGGCGATGAAGATAGTAAAAATATATTGATTTTTCTTTAGAACCACAACTATATGATAAAGAAAGACACAAAGTTTTTGAATTCCAACGTGTACATATGTAAAGTCTCGATGGTTTTTCTACATATGTATATAATATATTGTTTTACATAACAGCTAGCTCGAAGCTAGCTTCCATATAATGCCAACAATGGTGTTACGTCACGGGATCGATGACCCGTCAACTGCGCAGTTGCATTTCATCGATCGACTGCAGCCATGTGCCGCCTCATGGCCGGGGATTTCCCGTATTTTGTACTGCATTTTTTTAAATTATTGAGGTAACACTTATGACATATGCATTTACAGTACAGCCTGCTTATGCTTTCATTTTCATGCATTAATATAATTAAATATTTTTTTACATTTTTCATTAAATAAAGGCTTCAATAAAATCAATTCCATTGATTATATAATTATTAATTATAATTCTCAATTCATTATATCTTCTTCATTCATGCTAAATGTTATTTGAGAAAATACTTCTGGTTAAATTCCATGAAACATATTTATGTGTATATACATTGTTCTTGAACTCTCAGATAACTTGGAGTGTTCTGAAACCCTTGTAGGAATCATTGGCTTGAATCCAACTTATCTAAGTCATGTTATGAATATTTTGTTATATGGTAAATGTTGAGATCCGTTTCAACATAATATTTTATTTTATTCTCATTAAAAAAAAATAATATCTGACAAGCTTATAACAATATACATAAATACATATAATAAATCCAGTTTAAAATTAGTTTGATAGCTCATGCCGAACATATTTTATGACTACACCGCTTTTATCTGAAAGTTTCAAGCGAATATTTGTAGTACAAGTTATATAAGCACGGCGTTTGTGCATTGTGGTATGGTACAAGTGATAGAATGCGGGCGTTTTTAGTTTCGACTCATCCTACTCGGTCGAATTGGAAAACAAACGTTTATTTTATAGTGAATTTTCACAATGGAATCGTATTTTTGCGACCTAATTTTGAAGCTCTTTTGAAATTACAACAAAGCTTGTTCTATATACAGTAAAATGTTTCGGTATTTTATTTTTTATTAAGGAAGGGGATGGGTAGCTTTTTTGTGGTGTTCGTTCGGAAATTATTCACTTTAAATTGGAAATCATTCCTATTGTTCATTGTTCCGGTTTTTCAAGTTAAAAAGTGATTATTAAAGTGTCCCTCTCAATTTTAATTAATTAAAATTCTTATATAATTATGACTAAGAACTAATCTATAGTCTTTTTTTTAAGGGTAATTATTTCCTTGTATAATAAAAGGTACAAAGGTTGAGTAATGTTTTCAATTAAAGACCTAAAGAGAATTACTTTGTCTGATATAAAATTAAAAGCGATCAGCTGGCTGATAAAATATAATAAAAAAAATAATATTGACCAATAAATATAATATTAATTAAAAAAAATCTTAAATTTAATCTGAATTCTCTTAATTTGTACCAACCACTAGTCTCTTTATTACTGTACGTGAGACTGCGTCACTCAATATCTTAGTCTTTCAGTGAACAGACTGCAATGTTGCCAACATAATAATAATAAGTTGCTCATATTGATCTCAGAAAGACGGAAAACACGTGAATTTTAAATAATTATAAAGGTAATTGTCTTATTCAAATATTTCATATGCAAAGCAAACATAGATTTCGAATCTAAACAATGTTTATTTAATTTGACTGAAATAAATCTTTCCTTGTCAAAACGTCGGACGTAATAAAAATTTATTTATAGTAGAATATCCGTTAAATATAGACGTCGAAATAAAATGTTATTTTTAGACTGTCTGATATAAAATCTATTTTTATGTGAATACCGTTGGTAATTTATTTTTCATACGAATATTTAGTTTACAATAGATTAAAAATAACTATTAATTATGTATAACAATTAATAGTTATTTTTATGTGTCATTAACAAATAAACTTTTAGTAATATTATGTAAACATAACACAAATGTCTATATTTAAATTACCCTTTTACTTTTTTCGTCGAAATTAACCTGTATTTAATATTTATATATCAAATGTTGAATGTCACTATTTATACCAAGGTAATTTTAAATATTGCATAGAAATTAAATTTAATATTGTTCGTCTGAAAAGATAATCTGTCTAGATTTTTTTACGATACATTAATTAGGTACAAAAAAGCAAGAAACATGATTAAATTAATAATTATATCTTAAAAACTGAAGATAAAAAATATGATAATAATAATCTAATTTATGCTAAGGATATTATGTTTTTACTGACTGGGAGTAGACGTGTTTTTTTACTGAAAAAAATATAAAAATATGTTGTTTAAATTAAAAATTAAAATGATTATAAGACCAGAACAGAAAAACGTGACTAAATGAATCTAAAGGTTTTCAAAAAATAAATTTAAAAGGTAAGGATGAAAGAAAATTAAATAAATAGATGAAAAGGTTTACTTTGACAAATATTGTGAGGGAAATCTTTTAAATAGGCTAAATTTGAGAAAACTTTCCTGGGAAAATAATTCACATGCATTTACAACTTGTTAAGTCTATAATCAATATCGCACTATTTCTTTTTTAGAAATACAAATTTCGTAAAATAGAATAACATTATGTAACATTCTTATAATAAAAAATAAATACTATTTTCAATAAACAAAGAAAAGTAAGAGAATATTATATATATCTCTACCAGGTGAAACATGATTTCTAACAAACCAAATGATATTGCAGTCCTTGGAGTGCACGAATGTACTATCGACTTTCCTTTGAATTATCTACGTGACTGTACCGCGATGAGCTGTGGCTTCAAAACAACTATTACGGTGCAGCGATCCATTTTACAACAAAAGCTATTTATTACAACAGCCCGCTGTTAATGCAACGGCAGCAAAACATTCCAGAGAAAATATTTATACAAAGACGTCTGTGCTGCAAATGAAATTAAATATACCTTTTGTTTTTATATTAATAAAGATTTTTTTGTATTTTATTTTTTGTTTTGAAGATATAAATTTCTTTTACGACTGTTCAGACTTTAAAATGCACATCACAATTCACAACGAGAAAACGTACGCCGTGATAATACAAACTACATATATCACTTTCATCCTTTACGCAACGAGGATGTGTTACATGCTAAGTATATGCAAAAATGAAAATTCTATAGCGGTGTATATATCAAGATTTATCATTGAACGTGCTAGAATATGCAACTGTGACCTGATTTCATAAAGCATGCATGCAAAGGAAATTCCCGGTAACACCTGGATAGAGTTTTTCGTATGCAGCGAAATGTTAGCATAGAAACGGATGTGTAAGTCCATTTACGAGCTGTTTGAATGCAAACAGAGCGTAAATGGGGCTCGTTTACATAGCATAGGAAACGTCAGCTGTGGATTGCGTTTTGGGGTTAGTACAGCTAGCTATCTGATTTTGGGAATCTAGTAAGTCCCATATGTTCCCGATTTGCAATCTTAAAGACCTTACAGCAATAAGACAGTGTTATTATTTTTGTAATCTATATTAAATACAGTTACATGGATTACAACAGTTTAAAATACTGATTAAGTTAAAAGCCAATGAATGTAAAATAGTTTTGTAAATTTGAAATCAATGGAGGATAGTTTTAAGTTCGCTGCAATAACTTACTTGAATGCTATTATACTGTCGAATGCAGATTTTTTTTCCTTTCTGAATTTAACAAATTGATACTTAATCAGTCTAAATAAAATTTCTTTGCGATAATATAAATTTAATTTAAACTTCATTGGATATTTCGTTTCGAATTAACGTTCTGACATACATCATGATTAAGACGACAGCGGCATTAACATAATAAGGAATTATTCATGAGATAAAATACAATTTATAAAGAAAATATGAAGATCTTATCAAATGAACCAAATGTTAGTTTATGTATGCTACCATATTGATTACAAGGACAGATAAGTTACTCAGAAAAGGTTCATTTAAATCACGATGGAAAAAAAAGAATGGAAAATAATTTGTTGATTAGACACACGCGATATTAACATGTTTTAAAAATTATATACACAATGATTGTAGATGGTTTTCGTGTATTATTGAATAATCAAAGACGTATTTTTTCTTTCCTTGTAATTATTATTAAAATATAGAAATTATTTATAATACAAAGATCAATCTTTTTAGAGGAGGTCGTTAATATATTATTCATTACAAAAATATGTTTTTGATTGTAATTCTAAATGGATCAAATTAACGAATACATTTTGACTTGATTGTAAATATACAAAATCTTTATGAATTATTCCAACGTTGGTGGAATAACTAATATAGTAGAGAAATATTTAAGTAGGCGGTTAGAAGGATTGAGCGAATCGTAAATTTAATTTTAAGCCTTGATCTTACCAATACATTGAATTATCTGATAGATATAACTTATTCTTAAAGAATAAAATATCTCAATTTATTTATATAAACCTACAACTGAATATCCTATTTACAATCCTACAACCTAAAATTTCCTATTTACAATCTTCCACAACTAAGTCTTACTTTTCCTATATTTAAAAGGCCTTAACCGTTATTAGTTTTTCACGTTCTTTACAAATTTCCCAAATCACTTCATGAGACCAGTAACAAGGCTGTAAATGCCGTACTGACCCAATTAACATCTGGATTGGTCATAAACTTGCTACGTTAATTAGAACGTACTCACGAAACTTTCTCAATTTATCGTACAAGTGCTCTCTTATATTATTTTGATGACACCTTTTATATAGAAACTATGTTGAAACACGCTAAAATGGAATTTTTAATTATAAAAATGTGTTTTATCTTTTCAGAGTTGAAGACGAAGCGTCTTCGCCAGTTAATAAAGTAAAGTGAGTATTTCTTTGTCTTAAATATATAATTTTTATAGAAGAGTATTTTGTGAATAATAAAACTGTAAGGAGTTATTAATTCTTTTGTATGTTTATAATTCCCATATTAAGAAACACAAAGCTTATTTCTCCGGACGAAAAATCATAAATTACTGCATTAAAGACATCTAAAAGGGTCGTTGCTACTATCGTGTTCAATTCTGTAATTTCACAAAGAACGTATATCAAACAAATTTTAATCTGCCAGCGACAAAAGCGGCTTCATCACGCCGCCCCAACAGAATGGAGGCGGGGAGTCGCCCCCTCCAGAGAAAGAGAGGGCTGACCAAGAGGACACGGAGAAGAGACACGCGGGACCCGTGCCTCACTGTGCAGAGGGACCCAACGATGATCTATACGCTATACCGGTTAAACTGAGACCGAAGAAAGAAACTTTGCCTCCCGGCTGGGAAAAACATGAAGGTACATTTTAACCTTCATAATATTTATTTAACAATTTTTTAAACATGCCAGAAACATTTAGAACAAAAATATGACCCAGGAAAAATAAGTTTAAAAGGTAATATTTTTACGTCCTTTTCATTTTTAATAGAAAATTTTTCGTTCTAACATTCCTCAAATAAATTTAATACTAGCTATTCGACATCAGCTGAATGTTATCGATTTTGGAACATAGATCTTCCCTAGAAAACGCTAACATCTACAGTGATAGTTATTTATACTTTTAGATAACGATGGCCCATACTACTGGCACATAAAGAGCGGCACAATTCAAAGGGAAATCCCGAAGATGCCGCCCATAGAGGCGAGAGAGTCTCGCATATCTATGGTGAGGGATTGCTCCAACTTGTCAGATATTAAATACGAGGGGCCAATGACCTCGTCCGTCACTAGAAGTACCACCAGCGGCGCCCTTGACCACGTGGACCAAGACGCTGAGAGGAAAAGGAGGGAGGAAGTAGCTTACAAGTAAGAATATGTTTATGTACATACTAATAACAAGACGGATTAAAGTACGCTAGCTATCGAAAAATATTTTCGCCCATACAGCTGCAGAAAATAAAAAAATATCAAGGTATAGCTCCAAATCTGTGTTATAGTAGTTATGAAACTTATTCTCGAAAACTGCAAGTAACTTTTATGTGTAAACTAGCTTTCCGCCCGCAGCTTCGACCGCGTGGAGTTCGGTTATATCGCGTTTCCAAGAGAACCTTTCGAAAGTCTGGGATAAAAACTATCCTATGTTCTTTCTCAAGGTCAACTCTATTTCTGTACCAAATTTCATTAAAATCAGTTCAGTGGTTTAAACGTGAAAGCGTAACAGACAGACAGACAGAGTTACTTTCGCATTTATAATATTAGTAGGGATAAATTTTTCACTGTGGGGTACTTTGTTCCTTTTCAAAAAGTATATTCTTTGATCTACAGACGTCGCAGTTACCCCGCTCGTCCCGACTCCGAGGGTCGTGCGGTTCGATTCTTCGTTCGTTCCTTGGGCTGGGTGGAGATTTCTGAGGCTGATCTGACCCCTGAGAGGTCAAGCCGAGCGGTCAATAAGTGTATCGTTGACCTCAGCCTTGGAAGAAATGATCTACTCGACCAAGTCGGCCGCTGGGGCGATGTGAGTATCAATATTATTTGGTTCACACAGAATATATTAGGAGACCTGGCTGGACCCTGGCTAAAGCTCGGAAATTGCCACGAAGAAGAAGACAATACACTAGGAGATTCCACCATGAACATATTTATTGACCAAATTGTCCATAGCAATTGCTATTATCTCAAGTTTTTGCTAACCAAAACGTTCACATTTTCGACTTATAAGCTGGTATTTGATTTGAAAATATATGTAATTCATTTCCAGGGTAAGGATCTATTCATGGACCTAGATGACGGCGCGCTCAAACTAATAGATCCAGAGAGTCTGAACACTTTGCACACACAACCAATACACACTATACGTGTTTGGGGAGTAGGCAGAGATAATGGACGGTAAGACAACCTATAAATATAAATATCCCATCAAATATGTAGCTATAGACGTAGTCAGATGATAGAACTAGTTGTGTAGCATCACCAATACTAATGTGTATTTCTTTTGTCATGCCTTCTTGGAACAGTGAAAGGTATGCAGTTATTAAATATTTTTACTAGTCAATGAATAGATTAACTATAGATTTTGCACTGATTCGGTTATGCACAATTTAATGAGACAAAGTTTAGTATATCATATGAGATAGCAAATAATCGGAATAAAGAAGATATAATAGAATTAGCAAACAAATAAGCAAAACAGTCAATACGCTTGTGCTTAAACAATTTTGATGAAAATTTTCTTAAAGGAATTGTGTATTACGGAAATTATTCAATTGATATTACGAAATTAAGAATTCAGGATATCTAAGTAATAAAACAGTTCCTACCAAACCTAGGCTTGAAAGATTTAGCATATCTGACTAAACGAGTACATACACCGCATTTTACAAATCAAATATTTATACCGCTCATTGGATTGGTTTATATCAAACATTCAAGTTCAATCTACTATATATTATCATCAGCCTGAATCCACTGAGCAAAGACCTCTTCTCACATGGAGAAGATTACTTTTAATGATATATTTGAGTTAAGTTAGTAGTGGCCTAGTGGTTAAGGGGCCCGCCTCTCGTTGTCGAGGGCGTGGGTTCAAACCTGGCAAGTACCAATGTGATTTTTCCGAGTCATATGTACTTTCTGAGAGTATTTAGACACAACTGACATCGGTGAAAGAAAACATCGTGAGGAAACCTGGACTTATACTTTCACAATTATAAGTTTGAAATCACCAACCCGTCTTGAGCAAGCGTGGTGATTAATGCTCAAACCTTCTCCATGTGAGAAAGAGGCTTCCTCAGCAGTGGGCTTCTGATATATTTATATATTTGAGGAGTTCTTATGTTTTTGGTCTTTGGTCAGGGACTTCGCGTACGTAGCCCGCGACCGCAGCACGCGCCAGCACATGTGTCACGTGTTCCGTTGTGAAGCGCCGGCTCGATCCATCGCCAACGCTCTCAGAGACATCTGCAAGCGGATCATGATAGAGAGGTCGCTGCAACCACCGCCGAGGCCCACAGACCTGCCTGCCGCCCGGCGACCGCGGCCGCTGTCAGGTTAATACATACTTTGTTTAATATGTCTTAGTATTCAGCAGAATTTGTGCTTATCAAAGGTCGTAATATATAAATATAACATAGCAGCAATGCTGTAACTAGCCTTTTATGCACCCGGTGCGAGCTTTCGAAACTGCGCCACTGAAAAATGATCTAACCAGGCTCTAAAAATAAAATAGACAGATGTGCATACAAATAAATAAATCTATCTATTTATTGTTTAACAAAGTATATAAGTATATAGCTACCATGCTTGAGATAAAACTAGATACTAGTCTGGTCATTTCTGCGCCCCTCACGGGCCTTTGCCCTGTGCCTGGGCACTGCTGGCACTGCCCTAGTTACGGCACTGCATAGCAAACTAAACGCGTGCCTGATAAATATGTATTCATTGATCCCAAGTGCTAATTCTATGTGTCTTATAATATCATTGTAGATTTGTTCTGATAGCTGACTTATAAATACAAACAAAGATATAAAAAGTTCTAAACTCCATATATATGATCGATATTCGTCACGGTTCATGTTATAATGGTCTCTCACACAGGCGCCTCATTCCCGACCCCAATGGAGGAGCCTCGTAAGACAGTTCGTGCTCGCTACCTTGGTAGCGCGGAGGTTCCTCGTGCTACAGGCATGTCTGTTCTCAACGACGCGATCGACCGTCTGGCCGCGGCCCGCGCGCCCTCCGCGTGGAGATCCGTCGCGGTCGCTGTGGCGCCATCTATGATCACCATCACCGAGGAAGGAGTGAGTGAGACGGAACTATGATAGACAGAGATGGAGATATAACGTTGGGAAAACCTATATAGTAGTTGATAGTAATTACAATTGAGTCAGTGTAACAAAACTATGACAGAGAAAGATGGCGATATTATGTTGACAAGCAAATATACTGGTTGATAGTCTTATTGATAGGAAATTTTGTTTGCTAGTTGTGTGTTCAGAAAATTTAAGTGGCCATTGATTAGATTACAATCATACATTTTGCAGTAGGTCTAAAAATTTAGATGTCAATTATGATATGTAGCATTTGAAATGGCTTAATTCATAAACGCCAAAATTGCAGCATCTGTTACCTATATAACTTTGCTATACTTGATGTGACATTTTCAAATGCTCTATATGAAATGATTTTGCTAAACTATATAGGTTTTTCCCAAAGTAGGATTATAACACTATTTATGAACGTTGCACTTCAAAGGGCGGTAAAAGACCCAGAAAGAAATAGGGCGTTATATGTACCCTTGGGGTGATATGTAATTTCATTTAGCTATTATAAGTCATAGTAGTTTTTCAGTAGGTGAATAATTGTTCTCAAAGTGGACCACATAAGTTAAATAATGTTTGAGCTAGTTTAATCTAGATTCTAGATTATAGAGAGGTCTTTTAAAGTTAGTTAATGTCTCTGTATAGGAGGTATCGCCGCTCGTGGAGTGTCGCGTGCGCTACTTGTCGTTCCTGGGTATCGGTCGTGACGTTCGTCGCTGCGCGTTCATCGTTCACGAGCCGAGGGACGTGTTCGTGGCGCACGCCTTCCACGCGGAGCCGTCGGCCGGCGCACTCTGCAAGACTATAGAGGCCGCTTGCAAGGTAACATCACATTATATCTTTTCTTATTATATATATGTTACATCCTCATTATATACAGGGTGACTGGTGAATTACTATCGATACTTGAGGACGTGATATTTGACGATCATATATGACAAAATTAAAAATATTATAACATAAATATTAGTAAACTTCTAAGTAAATTTAACCAAAAGTTATGTAATTAATTATGCATCGTGTGAACAGCCTACAGATTAGGTATACACACACACACACACACGCGTGCGGCGGCGTAGTGTTGTATCAGCACGCCGCTTCACGCGTCCACACTTGGAACACTTGGAACGTGTCCACACTTTATTTATTTATACGGAAATTTGGTCAAAAATTAAGTACCTATTTTTTTTACATAATTCGAATGAGAATCATGTACCGAGTACTCTCCTTAAATATTGATAGTCATTCACCAGTCACCCTGTAAAGTTACTGGCTGCGCCCCGCGGTGTTACCCGCGGATTTCCGGGATGTAAAGTAGCCTATGTCTTATTCCTGGACGTCAGCTTCCTGTATACAAAATTTTATCAAAATCGCTTCAGCCGTTTGAGCGTGAAGAAGTAACAAACATACACACACTCACAAACTCGCAATTATAATATTTGTAGGATATTCTGTTCTACTCGTATGACATCTAACACTTATGTTGTACTATCTTTCCGCCCGCAGCTTCGCCCGCGTGGAGTTCGGTTATATCGCGTTTCCAAGAGAACCTTTCAAAAGTCTGGGATAAAAACTATCCTTTGTTCTTTCTCAAGGTCAACTCTGTCTCTGTAACAAATTTCATTAAAATCAGTTCAGTGGTTTAGTCGTGAAAGCGTAACAGACAGACAGAGTTACTTTCGCATTTATAATATTAGTAGGGATTTCAATCGAACTAATATTTGCGGATGGCTAAGGGTTTTTGAACTTAAAGTTCTTTACGCACTCTTTGGGGTAAGCTGGTGAAAGCGTTACGAAAAATGTGATCGGGCGAGACGAATGATCACTATCATTCTCACTCACTAGTGGGAGGTAAAAGTTAGTGAAAATAGATAGGGAGTGTGTTACGGGTAACGGAACAACATCAGCATCATCATCATAATGGATGGATGAATTGTTGGATGGATGAATCTGAATGATGAATATTACTGTATCAGGTTAATTCTGTTGAACCGATTTAGATATATCTTTGTACACGTAACCTCAGCCTACAAAACATATATTACCATAAATTATAACACTATTACTATTAAATATATTAACATCATCTATCACCTTTTTTTCGCTCTTAGCATTAATAAATAACAATCATCATGTATATATATTAATATATTATTTCATCAAACAGCTCCGCTATCAGAAGTGTCTGGATGCTCACGGCGGCGCCTTAGGTCTGCCGGGTCTGGGCGGGCCTGGAGTGGGGGCAGGCGGAGGCTTGGCTGGGGCGGGCGGCGGACCTGACTCACGCGCCAGTCTAGGACAGGCGCTCAAGTCGCTCGTGGGCTCGCTTACTGGAAGACGCGCTTCTTGAACGACTTGGTGAGGTGATGATCACGTGGTCATTATTAATGTATATGTTAACCTTAAACCTAACCAATCAACATACACCTTGCCTTTGTCGGATGATATAACGGTAATGATATAAATTAATCAACTTACTAAAATACATGCGTTAAATACGCCGTTCAACTGTCGTTCATTATTTTCCGAGAGTTGATCAACTAACTACCTAGAAAATTGGTCAACTTACGAGTCTTGTTATTTTAAGGTGACATGGATATGATGAAGTACGAGTGAGGATGTATTACGTTAAACTTAATCATACTAACTGTATTACATACCGGCAGTATAGGTTTCTGGGATGAACTAGCTAACTTTCCCATGGTTGCATGCATATTATGCACTTCTTTGCTAAGCACTGCCAATTCATCTAGAAGAGTCTTAATTGTCCGTTTGAAAACGGCGAGTTTCCCAAGTGGGAAATTGGTATTGAAGGTCTTCCATAACCTCTCGAATATTGGATGCCGCCTCGTTAAGAGATTTAACAAAGATTTCATCTATTTTATTACCACTTCGTCGTCATGACACGATGCTTTTCTCGATCTTGTCATTCATAGTTTTAGAAGGAAGAGAATCAAGGATGACCAACAATCCCAGAGATCGTGCCGTTCTTTCGAGTTGACTTTTTTGGGTAAAATCGGATACCGCCTGTGTAAGAAGCTCCATTTGTCACCGGTATACTGCGTTTTATCCTAGAGCTGGAAAAACCAGGAATTTCTTCCGATTCGCTATCGGCTTCCGCGTCACAAGTGCCTTTCTTATGTATTCCGTTACTAACGTCGCCGTGAGAGAATGGAATGCTCATGTTAAGAAGATTTGATTAGAGCAAAACTCCAAAGCATTTATTTTCCTTATCCTCTTTTTTAATCTACTTCTTCACTCTCACTTATCTTAGAATTGGGATTAGAAAAACTCATTTTTGTTCACACGAGTATGGGACGAAGTAAAGTAAACGGTCGCTCCCGAGTGACGAACATCCCAAGGGAAAGTATCCACAGGTTTTCACGGGTACTCTCCCGGGTTTTATAGACTTTTCCTTGTCGTAGGTCGGCCAATTAAGACAAGCCCTTTCCTCTGTTATACCTTTACAACGTACCCGACCTCGCTTTGTCAGCGTCTATGATGCTAATTGAAGGCCAAACGGTTACGGCGGTCATCGTCAACGGTCAACGGTATCTGCGGTGATTTAACACCACCCGTTTCATTGGACTTAGAGTTTTAACCCGACATACAACGCCAATGCCACATCCTATGAAGCTCTGTAAGCAGATGATACATGGAGTGACTATGGCACCACTTGTATCGCTCTTAGTCTGAACCCTCACCCCATAATTGTCCGGTATAGTAGTATGTGCCGGTAAAACTCTGGGAATCATTGGAGCACTCAAGCCCCCAAAAGCCAAATCTTACTGTGATAGTGTCATAAAGTCTGCTCTAGCCTCGAATATATCACACATAATTGATAATGTGCAAAAGCTATTCTTTACATCATTAGAGACCTTATCGCTGTTTATAATTATGAGTTTTAAAATATGTTGTTACTATGAAGTTTGTATTCTGAGTTCACTAATCATAATACCTTATATATTAAATATATTATAGTCTTCAGTATATAATAATATATTTTATATATTCCAGATGGTCCCTGGTCGTCGCCGCACCGCTCGCACGCTTCACACCGCGTACAGACGTATTGTTTAGTATAACATGTATCAGCTGTTACTATATATATGTATTGTTTGTAGGGAACGTGTCCAGAATATATGACCTCTGTCCGTAATGTATAGAGGTTCTATTACATGTACTTAGTACGCGTGCATATCAACTACGACACGAGAAGTTTGATCGTATTTAATGGACATACGTTAAGTATAAAACCTTTATATTATCGGTGTGTAGGTTGATAGTGCACACGTAGTAAGCAAATTCTATTTCCGTTCGTATTTTAAGCATTTAATACATAAAGCTGTTTTCCGTATGTTGTCCGTATGAAAATGTTTATTATGTGTATACGATCCATTCAATAATTGTATGAGTGCATTAAACATCTCGATAGTCGCAGCACAAATAAAATACTTAAATGGCAGACGAGTGAAACATTGAATTAATAATAAATGCTTTACAACACGTACTACAAATTATATATAAGAATAACTACCTTTAGTAGTGTATGTGAGTAATTTAAGTATTGAATTGATATGTATTATAATTTATTTGTACTCATGTTATACATATCTTAACTATCTTTCGTAGTCACATGTCACCTGTCATGTCACTGTCAAATGTCACCTGTCACTGTCACTCGCCGCGCGTCTCTTAGCGTCTGTATAAAGCTGTGTGTTCATTATTGAGTTGGTCTCATTATAGTTACCATATAATATACTAGTCGTAGCGCGTTATGGTTTTGTAAATTTTAAGGCGATTTATAAAATAGTTTTAGTGATTGTTTTCAGCTATAGTCTGTAACCCAAATATTATTGAAACGAATAATTATGTTATATTTATAACAACGGCATTACGAAGTTAGTCAGTTGCGATATATAACGAATATGATTTAACAGTGGCTTACTCGTTAAGTCGGTAATGTTAGAGTGGGGCGGGAGTGTAAATAAAGTGTAAACTTTGGTGGAATTTGATTAATTTTAGTGTAGCAAAATGGATTGATGGATTTCCAGTTCGCTGGCTGGGGTTTTCGTGAGCACGGTATGAAGAAATTATGACACTTAGGGCGGTCGCAAACTTTGCTACTGTTACATTCGATTTTAATGTATGTATATTAATACTTTCAAATAATATATCAAAATTGTAATATAAAGCGACGTTTCGACTATGTGCTTGTCTAGTCCTTATTATCAGTAGATAATTTGGCGTCCGCTCTTACTTGATTTCTCAATGATTGGTCTGTCTCGTCGGAGTAGTTAGAATATTAATATAATATATGTACGTGTATAGGGAGAGTTTATTTTTGCTTAAGCTTGTATAAAATACGTATTGGATTGCGAAAGATAAATATTTTTGGTAACACATCGCAGTGAATATATTCGTATGTATTGATATATTCGTATATTTACTGTCTAGCTTATCTAAATTAGTTTTGGCATAAAGATGTCTTATACAAATGTAATTTTTAACGACTGTTCACTGAATGATCGATATTTATTTGCCAATTTGGCTGGAACCAGAATTTAATATTTTATAATGCGAGCCTCATATAACAAGGGTGTTTGAAATTGTTGAGCTTTCAATATATATTAACGTATTTAAAGTCCATAAATTATTCGCGATATAGAGACATGCAAAATTTAAAATAAAAAAATAATAATAACTCGATGTTGTTCGTTTGACAGCTTAAGTGACATCTAACGTAACTATAACTAAATACTCATATTATATAATATGTATATAGAATCCACGTTAAAAAAAACAAATAAAAGCACTGAATCTGAAAACTATAATAATCTTTTGTGTCTGTAACACTTGTAATTAGGGTAATTTATATATATTTGTAAAGGATGGTAATATTCTCACGATGACTTTGATAGCCTGCTTTCAAAGTAGTTCACTTTTTAATATACACTAGAAGGTTACAACGCGAGTCATTGCCATTCTTTTAGTGTAAGGCGTTCGTTAGTTATCACAGATTAGCTTCAAATACATCAATTACCTATTAGTGGTCAATGTTGCTTACGAGATAAACTTCACTGGGCTGTTCATACGTAATAGTTATATTCACAATTTAATGTTAAGGGATTCAATGTCATTGTTTATACGGAATGATATTCATATATGGCGGCACGAGCAGTTGAAAGAGAATCAAAATTAATATCTACAAATATTGTGGTCAACAATTTTGACTTATAATGTTTATAAAAGTTGTATCGCTCGTGTGAGCCTTTAGACGCCATAGAACGCAAGCTTTGACTGCCCCTCGTCGAAATATATGTCAATATTTTCTATGAAATATAAACATTTATAAAGTAGTTAATAGCTTCGATATTACAATTCTAGTTCAGGGATGGATCGGATTACAGACGGCAGTTAAATTTGTACCGTCATCGCTTGACAGCTTAAAAGCCTTAAAAATTGTGGCTTTTAATCAATAATTTTGTGAAATTAATAAAAAAAATCGATTATAAACACATATTTGTTCATTTTATTTCATATTCCTTATTATTTTCCTTTAGATAAATATTTTATTAAATAGTTCTTACATTTTTCATATAACTCGACATTTTAAACAGTTAATTTTTTCTCTGGTTTATTTATATAACACTAGTGTATTGGGAGATTTGTTGAAGATATAAATGACAAATGTCTTTATTATAAATATTTATTCATTACATTGGCCATAATTTGGAAATCCAGATTTTTTTTCACATGTTAATTACAAACTGAAGTTATAAATCTTGGCATAAATAAACTTTCATCTCAGTATTAAAAATAAACTGCTCCACACTCTGGACATCAAATACACTGGCAGTATTAGCTTTTATTTTGACAAACAAAACATAGTTTACCACATTAGGACCGAATACTTTTAATTTAAAACTGATTTAAAATTCATATTATGCATAATTTTAAATCAATACCTACCACCTCAATAAAAAAGGTGTTCATTCATTTGATTACTTCTACAATTTATATCACATTTCATTATGCAATATTTACTATAAATGGAACTCGTAGTGCATCTTATATTTATTTAGAATTTTTAAATAGACAAGTCAGTTTTTACTTTATTAGTTTAAAAAATAATAAATAAAACGATTCTACATCAATTTACAACATACAAATAATCTTCATACTGTCTGTGGAGCAGCTCGTACGCAGTGAATCCTTGTATAACTAATTACTTTATACAAAATATCTATACACAACTTTTATGTATAATTTCAATTCAGGATCATTTCATAACCAACCTTCAGACAGTAGACAATGACAATCCATTGAAAAATATCTAATACTATAAGATTTATAAATAAGTGAAATGCAGATTTGGTGCGAAATAATACATTATTACATAGAAATGTATAAAAACTGTCAAAATAACAAACATTACATATGGAAATATCGTTCAGACAGAATGAAATATATATCTTATAGTGTTAAATATTCTTTACATCAGACTATCATTGACAAATCATCATATGATTACTTCATGTCTGAATCAGCCTGCAACAAATATATCATTAGTACATATATGTTATATATACTTTTAATATATAATTATTATATATTTATCTAACCTGTGTCTATATTCCCCATATTTCATCCCACCCATCCTCCATCTTCAAAGAAGCTTTCTCTGTAAAATAATAAAATAAATTTAGGAAATCAATTTAATTAAATTAATACATAATGAACATTGATTATTTTAGTTACACAATAACAAGCAAGATGAATGAATATGTGACTTTGTGTGGTATGTGCTTTAAGTGTGGTATTTGATTAATTGATGGAATAGTTAAGAAAAAAAAAAAACAAAATGATTGACAATGAGAATGATTAACATATACTTGAATGATAAAATAAGAAATACAATCTATACTAATATTATAAAGCTGAAGAGTTTGTTTGTTTGTTTGAAAGCGCTAATCTCGGAAACTACTGGTTCGAATTGAATAATTCTTTTTGTGTTGGATAGTCCAGTTATTAAGGAAGGCTGTGGGCAATATAACATCACGCTACGACCAATAGGAGCAAAGATATAGTGGTAAATGTGTAAAAAAACGGGAGAAATTATTTCATCTTTGAAGCCTTCCGTTGCGTGCACCGTAAAAACAGTTCAAGATACACAAAAAATATGGATTAAAGAATAATAGCTCTTTAAATGATCTAAAAAACAGTCCGCGACAGTATATGTCTATCTTTTAAGATTAACTCACAATAACAGTTTTTATGGTACCTAATTTGGTCGAAATAATTTGTTGAAGTTGTATCAACATAATAATATTAATCTTTATTCAAATAAACAAATAAATATGTTATTGGTTAAGAGTACTTCATTGTGAATTTAAAAAAAACATAGGTTTTACCCTGAAAATTCTACGGGAACTCGACCATTCCGAAACCCCGCAAGAACGGGAACTATGTGGGAAGAATCAAAAATCTGCCGGAAGTCACTATTCCATGCGGACGAAGTCGCGGTAAAAGCTAGTATATATATATATCAAATGAATTGGTGTATGTGTGATGAGCAATATTAACAAAGCAAAACTAAGCCACGGCCAATGATTAGTTATGATGATTCAAGCTGATTGTCGATGCTAAATGCTAAAGAAAAAAAACTTAAAATTTTTGATGAAATTGATATACATATATATGTAGTAATGGAAATAAAAATTATATATAGTGATTGTTACATCTGTGCCGGCATCATACTGAGCTACTCACAGATTATTCCGTGAATCTGCTCGCCCTGTGCTCTTGGAAGACATCTTGCCTGCTTAATATATAAATGTCTATTTATTTGTGTGTTCCTATATAACTAATGTTATAAATTATATATCTTTAATATCACTTGTATATAATCTTAATATCTGTATAATAGGTAATATAGACTTTATTTGTATGTGTATATTTTATATATAATAAATATATTAGTAATAGATGCCTTACCACTTGTAATAACTCCGCCATATGAACTGCTGTTTAGGCTTGTAGGCTCTTGTGAATGCTGAAACAATTTAATATATAAATAAAAATTTAATCACATCTTTGAATATAAAAATAGTATAACATAGTTTAGTGATAAAATAGAAGAATACATTATAAATTTTGTTTTATGAATAAAGTAGCTGCGCCTGCGTTATTTCCTGGATGTAAAGTAGCCTATATGTTATTCCTGGACGTCAGCTACTTGTATACAAAATTTTATCAAAATCGGTTCAGCCGTTTGAGCGTGAAGAAGTAACAAACATACACATACTCACAAACTTTCACAATTATAATATTAGTAGGAAGTACATAACATTTTTTTTTACCATGAAAACAATAATTAAGACATAGATACTCTTTTAATATGTATTGTATAATAATTTACCGCCATTTCCCTCAAGTTCCTCATGACCTCCTTGGCCGTTTCGTCAGTCACGTCTTCACACTTATCACTCTTAACGTCCGAAGGCACATCACTATCCTCACACTTGTCCCTCACTTCCCCCATGAACACCACATCACTATTATCATCGACATCGTTAGTATCGGGCACCTCACTAACCGGATCTTCATCAGATATTATTAATTCTTTCTTCTTCCTCACTTCGGGCGGTCGTTTGTCTGGTTTGACGAACGTCGGAGAATGATGCACCGATATCAAAGCCGGTCTCGGTATATTGTTCTCCACTGAACGCATATTCTCTATAACTTTCTGACTTATTTCCTCTTTGAGTTTCGGACTCTGCGAATCTTTCTTAGTGTTGACACTTATATCCACTTGTAAGGGGGATTCGATTCTTTTATCTCTGTAAATAGTGATATTTTTATCTGTTTTCTTAGGTTTATCTTTCTTGTGTATCATTTCGTTCAAGGCGGCTGGTGACTTGACTCTTAGTAGGGGTTCCTTAGCCTTATCTTTGTTAACGACAGGTGTGATCGTAATGCTGCCTATACTATTTGTGGGTATGTATTCCTCTTTGCTTCTATCAGGTTTTCTGTCTTCGGGTTTCTCTATAACTAGGTCTTTGTTGAGTGTGTATGAGTTTATAAGTGCTCCGATCCCTGGATTCACTTTGTATTTCTCATCTTCTGTTCTTTCTATATTTTTGACCGAGGTTGTCACTGTGAGTGAGCTCGGGAACTGTATGGGTTCAGTGAACTGTGTAGATGTTATTATAGGTTGCACTGGTTGAGATACGTGTGTAGGTTGAACCATTTGAGATGGTTGAACCGTTTGAGCCGGTTGAACCGTTTGAGATATTGAACTGACTCGTTGCTTCTTGAAGTCTGAAACCTTGATGTCTTTGTTGAGACTGTAACAGAAAATGGAATAACATTAATATGGAAAAAACGTTTTTGGACTATATTTATTAAAATTATTATGAATTTCAATGTGATGAGATTTAAGACTTTCGCGAGTATTCATTTAAATGAAACTAATAGTTTTCGGTTGATTAGACTTATTAAATAATAATTTTATCAAATATTAAAGGCAATTTGAAGGCTAACATATTATAGGAATGTTTTCAACAGTTAGAACTGGCGTTACATAGAAAGTTTATTAGGTTAAAGTTAAATCATTTGGCTAGATCAAAGTCAATCTATTAAATATAAACTGTTATGTTACAACTAATTTGAATTATTCATTATTAGAGTATTTAATAAATGTTACAAGAATAATAATAATCATTTGACTTTTAATGCATAAAAATAACTAAAACAAAATGTTGCCATTTCATTTCTTGATATGTATACAGATATATATTAGGTATAGTGCGTTTGATTTAAGCTGAGCTTTGCATTTGTGAGTGCACACGGATAGTGTAGGTGTGATGTAAAATTTTTGAATGCCGCGTTCTTTTCTAGGTTTTAATTGATTTATACTGCTTTTATTCCGCCCGCACTTCACCCTTTGTACTGGTAGCAAATCAAGTGAAGAAGAATTTGTATAGTTTTTTCCAAAATTTTAACTAATTAATTATTTTTTTCCATAAAAATTCCTTATGGCTTTTTACAAGTCTAGCTTATATAATTAATCTAAAATAGTTCTACATTTATGTCATGTTTATATTTAAAATAATAATAAGCTCAGTTTAAGTCTGACTATAATAGATCTAAGACAGTTTTAAATCCGTTATTATATAATATCTAAGTAAATATATGAAATAATCATTACTAACCCGGCCTGTTTAAGTAATGTGGGCTGGCGCACAAAGCCGTCAGGGAACAGAGGGAAGGCTCTCTGCGTGAGTAGGGCTGCGGCCGCGTCCGGGTGCTCCGGCGCGCCCCCTAGGGCTGCGAGCCGGGCCAGCAGCCCCCTGACGCGAGCACACCAAGGAAAACGACGTTTGGGACGACGACGCTCCGAACTAGCGCCAGATACTGAACCGATTGACAGCTTTTTCCTGTATATATAATTATTATTATTAGAAGTTTTTATTAATTATTATTAGAAATTCATTTATATGTACATAGATATGAATTTTAAATGGAATAATATACATAATAAAGCATTTTATTTCATTGTAAAGTATGTATCAGTGTTAGTAGATTGCTTATAACTAGGTTAGTTTATAAATGTATGAATATAATATATTTCTATTCGTTCCTTTACATGAATCCCTTCCATGTAAAAGCCTCCTCTAATTCCAATTTTAAATTTATGAACATTTAATTAATTCTATACTTTTGAATCTTCAATTTTGATGTTGATTTAAATTATGTTTTCTTAAAAGTAATTATGATAATTTTGTAGGGTCAGTTCAGGTAAGATCATCTAGAGGGTAAAATTGTCTAACACGAATAACTACTAATTCAGTAGAGCTACAAAAATGGGAAAAATTAGGGGCACAATAAATCCATTTAAGTTCATATTAATTTACAAAGATTTCGCTATACGTAGTATGAACGAAAAAAAAAACGCGGTTGTTATTTCAGTACCCTAAAGCACTTGCATCGGGAGTGCACCACGTTGGTAAAAAAAAGGTATTTGTGTTGAAATATCAGTTATTTGGAGGATCTATGCAAGTAATTTTATTCTTCTATGATATATCTATGTGATAGTAAATTACATTAGTAAAATATACGTTTTTTACGAAGTTATAGTTCATCAAATCAAAAGCTAAACTCAAAGTAGGCCGTGGCGAAGTTCGTCTAGGCCATGGAGGGTGATGAATGTCATATGCCGGTATTTGTCACATACAGATATTATCAACATTTTTTTTAAACCTTTTTAAAATCCATATTCCAAATCAGAATTCTCACGTATGATTGGGCAGATTTGGTCTGGAATAGATGCCCAAGTGTTGCGAAATGGTTTCAGAAAATCTGGTATTTACCCAGTAAGCCGTGATGAAGTAAATAAAGACAAATTTGATATGTTGAAACTAATACAACGGAATGAAATATTTCTGCAGCAGAGAAATAAGGAACATATTTTAACAGAAGAGCAACAAAACACCGGGCGAAATCCAAAATCTTTAGTGTCAATTTTACTTGATTTTTTTAATATAAAGTCGTAGCCGGAGAGTGCAGATGAATTCAATAATCGCAACACACCGCCAGAAATAACTGTACAGAACCATATTATTACCTTTAAAACCGAGATTGGTGAAAACGTGATTTCAGTAGAACCGAAAATTAACAATGAACCGTTATTAGATAATTCTGTACCGTTATTAGACAATTCTACTTATTAGTTATTATTAATTGTTTACAACCCCTGAATGACGGTCTTCGCCGACGAATGGAGAATCTAGCCAAATGAGTGAAACAAAATGTTATTTCTGCGAGTTAGGGTGCAAATATGAAGTTGTTATATGAACTGGCATTCGCACACATATTCTTTTAAAACAGGCATTGTAATCTATCACTACGCTAGCTACCGCTAACTAGAGAATTTTGCCAGTAGACGGTCTTAACCAACATTGGTGCCAAATCCGTCTTATTTCACTATTTAAAACAAAAATTGTTTATTTTCTGAACCAATGCTTTAATTGTCATTTTGACACGTTTACAGTTAGGTCAAGTAAACATGCTAACATTTAGTTCAACCATATTTGGAATGAAGGTTGTAGAATCGCCAAACTAAGACCATTGGTATTTTTTTTTAAATTTTATATGCCGGTCTTCCCCGAACCAACCCTATATATATTATGTACAATGTTTTTCACCTTTCTTCCTCAACTCGTTCACATTCAGTTTTGTATGTCGACATTATTCCTGGTTCACGTTCTTTTATTAATGTCTTTAACCTGAAAAATGTATAGATTTAGTTAACAAACTTGTGTAACTAATATAATAGGTAGAAATATTATTAAATCTAATTTTTTCATTCCTAGTAATAAACCTAATAGTTAATTCCCTTTTATGTAAATATAATAATATTTTATTACATTAAATTGTATATTTATTGGAGCTTCAACAGTGCCTGGGACTTGCGACCCATGTGTAGGTTTAAGGGACCCCTATCTAACAAGTGTTAAACGCTCACCTCCACTGTCCAATCTTCTCTCTCTCAAAAAGAAATAATAGTAGACAAACTTTAAACATTTTAACTAGTCTGAATCATTTAACTAATTACAGAGAATATTGTAAGTCATTCATAAATACACTTGATAGTATTAATATAGTGTAAAACTGAAATAATTTCAGTTTGACAATGAACATTGTAATTAGACTTGATTTGAGATCTTAATCTTAACGAATTAAAAAAGATATATGTGATCAGGAAAATTACGTTAAAAGTTTATTTTAATACAGTGGTTCTTAAACTAACATTGTGTGCCACCCACTGAGACTAAATAATTTTTTAGCACCCGTATTTTTTCACTTACTGAGGACACTACTAACATATCCCTACTAATTACTACATATTATAAATGCGAAAGTAACTCTGTCTGTCTGTCTGTTACGCTTTCACGCCTAAACCTGAACTGATTTTAATGAAATTTGGTACAGAGATAGAGTTGACCTCGAGAAAGAACATAGGATAGTTTTTATCCCAGATTTTTGAAAGGTTCTCTGGGAAACGCGATATAACCGAACTCCACGTGGGTGAAGCTGCGGGCGGAAAGCTGGTCCTAACTAAATGAAATTACAAATCACCTCCAGGGTACATATAACGCCCTATTCTTTTTTGGGTCTCTTACTACATACTTTTAGGCCTGTAGGGACCACAAGTGGAAATTATCGCCCACTTTTGCAATGTCTGGAAAAATATATTGAGTTCATTTTCATATAAAAGTTTATAATACCTTTGTAATATATCCTCTATATTAGCTTCCTTCTGTTCAGGAGTCATAGTGCTTGTATCTAATAGCTCATCAAGTTTTCTTTTAGTCCCCGCTATTGGTTGTGGTTGAGAAGTTTGTACTGGGGCTGAAAAATATATTTTGAACATAAATTTATTAAACTATATTATTGACCTGTAAGTAGGTATATTATTTTATATATATTTTTACATTTTCTTGAGCTTTTGATTGTTTTACAGCAATTGAAATCATTGGTAGAAGAGATGTGCACATAATTTTTCATCTACGTAGTTATATGACAAACAGTTTCATATTAAATATGTACAAGCAAAAATATTTCTTGTAGTTCCTTTGTAAAAACAGTTATATACAATTTACGATCATTTTAATTAATGAAGTGAATAATTGTCTGATATTGAGAGCTCAAGTATTAGGTAGTTCAAATTAATTACAATTTGAAATCAACAAAATATATACACATTAATTAAAATGATAATCACATAGGATCACCCAATTACATACATATTGCTTAATTCACTTTGTTATATTATGTGAGATAATTTGTAAATTATATAAACTATATATAGTTTGGTGACACAGGCTTTTGGTGCAAGTGTAGGAACATATTATGTTACTAGTTTTTACCCGCGACTTCGTCCGCGTTAATTTCTGTATTAATAATATATGTATAGCTGACCGGGCGAACTCTATCGCGCCCTAGAGGCCATAAATAATCAGATTTTGAAATTTATTAAGTATTTTTTTCGTTTGATCAAAATTGAATATCCTATGTCTGTCTCCTTATTCTAAGCTATTTCTACACCAATTTTCAATCATATCCCTACATCCGTTTTAGTTATGAATAGTGTAACTAACACAACTTTCTTTTATCCTACTTCCTACTAATATAATAATTGCGAAAGTTTGTGAGTGTGTGTGTATGTTTGTTACTTCTTCACGCTCAAACGGCTAAATCGATTTTGATAAAATTTTGTATACAGCGAGCTGACGTTCGGGAATAAGGCATAGGCTACTTTACATCCCCAAAATCCCGGAACTCGCGGGTAACACTACGGGGCGCAGCTAGTATATACATATATATGTTATCATAGTTTATGTTTCAAGTGTCATATATGTCTGACCCGTATCAAGTTTCTCTCGTTCCCTCGCCCTGTGTGTGATGACGTCCACTCCTATTCCCAGCATTTTAGCAGCTCTTGACCACGCGTGATCACTCAGACGAGTGTCTACAACCTCCTTGAGAGCTTTACCCAGTCTGGAATTGATAAATTGAATGTTTAAAACATATAGAAGATAATAATATATGTGATTGTTGTTATCATTATATGTATTCTACCTGGCAATTTCCCAGCTATAGCCAGGGTCTGCCTTACATGTTGTGAATAGTTTTGGCTATTTGTTTTTACGACCGGCTGAATGACATCAACCCTCTTTTGGAAATCAGCATTAATCAGTGATATCTAAATAATCTTAGAAAGTACATGTGATTCGGAAAAATCACATTGGTACTTGCCAGGGCCAGGATCGAACCCGCGCCCTCGTGTATGAGAGGCCTTTTAATCACTAGGCCATCACTGACTATCATTATATGTATGTAAGGGTTATTACATATCTTCTTTGGGGTTGTGAAATTCCGCGTATCTACATTGGAAGCAGATTATCAGACGAAAGTTTGAGCTCAAATATTTTCTAGATGACTTTTAAGGTATTTTTTCACAATAAGTTATAAATTAAATGCTTAATAATATATGTATGATGGTTTATATTTTATAACATCAATACAAGGGCATTATCTATAGATAAGAGATTTGTGATAGTACTAATCATCTAATGTATAAGTGTTTTAAATGTATACTTGAGACTTTATAGTTTCAATGTTTTGTTTTTGAGAAAATTAGTTATACATATAAATCATACTCTATCTTCTTCTACCTGGCAATTTCCCAGCTATAGCCAGGGTCTGCCTTACATGTTGTGAATAGTTTTGGTTATTTCTTTTTACGACTGGCCACTTGCCAGACATCAACCCTCTTTGGGAATATAAATCATACTCTATGTATAGGTAAATTAGTATTAGAACCCATATATTAATTTATATACTAACCTAACAATACAAGCGTCAGTCTTGCTATCATCCTTCCCTAGATTTTCTTTGAATCTACTCAATGTCTCGAGCTCTTCGAGTATTTGGTTCACAGCGGCCGGCAGTTTGATTTCTACTTTTGTTTCTGCATCTCTGTACAAAAATTAATACATTATTATTATTTGCTCTAAATAGCAATCTTTATAAACAAAATTATTTATAGAAACGGGTATTCAAGAGTTTTAATAATAAATTAATTAAAAAATATATGTATATGAATACCTTTCCAAAGTTATATGTCAAATAGTTATTAACAAGAAATGTTTTTGGTAATATATGTTTGTATTTACCTTGAACTATCCGAAGTGACATTATTCTCTGAGCTGGGAGCAGGTTTAGATGTGAGAGAGTCCGAGGCTGAAGATCTTGAATCACCACTTGAACCATCTGCTGGGGCATTCTCTGTTAACATAATAAATCATATATACATATATATTTCATTACACTTGTGTTGATTTTTTTTCTATATTATAAGGAACTATGTATTTCTGTCTTAATCACAATCAAAGTAACAAACCAAATATATATAAAGTATTAAATTGGTTTGTTATAAGCATGATCAGTAAATTAAGAGAATATTAGTATGTCGCCAGAACAAAAAGTATTCACCAAAAATTTTTATTATACTTAATTTTATGTTAAAAACTAGAAATCACATGTATAAATGTTACAGAAACTGTTTGTAGTTTTTTATGTGTATAATATGTGTGTTAAGTTCATATTATTTGGTAGAATGTTTTGTCCATGATAAATTCTAAATGATTCTGGCTGTACTAAAAATTAATATAGCTTATATTCATATAAATCTAATTATTAGTGTATATAATAATATTTATTATAAAAGTTAAAAGCATTTATTTACCTATAGTTAAATATAATAAATTAAATATATATAATAATATTACCATCTGAAGTCTGTTTCCCTGAAGTGGCCGCTGAGGAATCCGTTCTTCTGATCTTCTTTGCTTTCTGTTTGTCAATAGTCTTGTTCTTCTAGAATATTTGAAATATATGTTTAATTATAACATTACTACTATATTTAGTTTTATTGTATTACTGATTATAATTATATTTTTTATTTAGATAAAAATATTAGTTATACTATTGTATAATGACATTGGTCAACAAAAAAACAACTTTTGCATGTAACATGGAAATTTTTAACTAATTATGTTTAGGACAACTATAAAGATTACAGTTTTTTATTCAATTATATTTAACCATAGCATATTCAATTAATATATTGAAAAGTGAATATTGATAATCATTGTATGTAATTATCTAATATATAAAATTATCGTGTCGCGGTGTTAGACGGAAAACTCCTCCAAAACGGCTGGATCGATTTTGATGAAATTTTGTGAGCATATTGAGTAGGTCTGAGAATCCCAACATCTATACCCTTAATATTATTATTAAGGGTATAGATGAAGGGTTATTCACCCCTACATTTTTTTAATTTTTGTACGAAATTTTTTGTTCTTATTTTTTTATACTACAGCATTAAAAAATACATTCTTTTAAAATTTTTACTTTTTTATCACCAACCCCTATTTTTTTATATGGCAAAACAACGTTTGCGGGGTCAGCTAGTTTTCATATATTTAAGCATTTTTCATACAAATTGTTTATTTAATATCTACCTTTTTCCGATGTTCAGTCTTATGTGAGTCAACATTCCCGTTGGTAATGATCTTTGTGTCTTTTGCCTCTTGACTATCAGAATCTGAAGAACTGGCTGATGATTCCTCCTCACTACTGCTCGATGATAGTCCGCGCTAAATATACATATATTATATTAATATATTTGCTTTTGTAATTAATTTTATTAATTTTTAGTTAAAAATTTTATTAAATACACTATAAAACTATATTAAATTCGTAATATACATATAGTGCTGAAAACAAGACTGAATGACAAAAGTTTATATAATAAACTTGACATCCGATTATCATTTAACAATATTGATCAAGTATAACTAATACATAGCACATACAAATATACATATATTCATTACTTAAATACCTCTCACTTGGTGGGACTTGGAATGGTATTTTTATAGAATTTCTTTTAATAAAATGTAAGTTAAATTCTATCATTACATGTATAACAATGAACATTGAATAAACAAACAGATGGACAGACAAAAATTACACTATCAATGTGTATCTATTTAGTATAATGTGGCTGTCATAGTATTATTTATATGAATTAATACAAATTTGAGTGTGAGTAATTAAATAATTGTAATTTTATACTGTTTACATAATTTATTAAATACATTAATTTTAGTATGTAATTTAATAGAAAGCACAACATCATTAATAGTGTAATATACCTTATTATTTTCAGGTACAGTCTTGAATTCAAGTTTGCCGCTGTTTATATAGAAACCTCCATACTCTGTGTCACATTCTGGCGGCATTATCTCATCATACTGAAAAATATAACAGAAAATATATGGAATAGATTAATTGACTAATAAATATTTATACAGGGTGACTGGTGAATTACTATCGATATTTGAGGACGTGATATTTGACGATCATATATGACAAAATAAAAATTAATATAACACAAATATTAATAAACTTCTAAGTAAAGTTAACCAAAAGTTATGTAATTAATTACGCATCGTGTGAACACCCTACAGATTAGGTATACACACACACACACACACGTGTGGCGGCGTGGTGTTGTATCTTGTACTTGGAACACTTGGAACGTGTCCACACTTTATTTATTTATACGGAAATTTGGCCAAAAATTATGTACCTATTTTTTTTACATAATTCGAATGAGAATCATGTACCGAGTATGCTCCTTAAATATTGATAGTAATTCACCAGTCATCCTGTATATAAATTAATTAATTTTGTATATATTAACAATTTAAGTATTTGTCATATACATAATAAATATACATGGTTTTATGTCTTTATCCATTATTATTCCTATATTTATATTAAATTTTAGTAAATTACGTGATATTATGATTTCAAGAATGTATATATCAAATTAAATATTTCTGAGTAATATATAATGACTGTCTTGATCATCAACCTTGACATAATTATATTATTGATAGCTGGCAGCACTAATGTTACAGCATAATGCATTCAATGGCAATACATATGTGAAAAAAATTTAGTAAATCTTACAAAAATGCATTCAATCACTAGTCTTTGACTGACTACAAGACAAGATTTTTTTTAGTAGTTTTCATAGTAGTAGTTCTTTCTTCTGTAGTTATTTTAATTAATATTTATCTACTAACTTACACCATCTGTGTTGTCAATGAAGGAATCATTTTCATCATAGCCAGCTCCAATGTCAGCCAAGTCATCATATTTCGATCTCCCCTTCTTTCCATATGTACTTTTTCCACCCTGGAATTTAAGAAAAATAAAATTTATTTTTCCTATATAAATAAAATAATATATAAGAAAACATTTATGACATTCAAATACCGGAATAATACGTTCAACAAAAGAAAAAGTATATTTTCTTTTACTGAGTTACTTTAGCATTCATTTTAGTTAATTAGAGTGTAACTAATTATTGTTCAACCAAAAACAAATATGTACAACACAAATTAGTTACTAAAATCAATTATGCCGGTACTTGTAATAATTATAACTTAATTTAATCCTCATTTATAATGAGTTAAAATTTTTACATTCACCAATTCCAAATGATCACATAATTATACTAATACAATACATAATTTACATTTTATATAACAACTATGACTAAAATATTATTAATTATTCAGAGATATATTCACTTTATAAGCTTAAAAATACTTATAAAACAATAAAATTATATCCAAATAATAAATTCTATGATTACTTACATATTTCTGTTCAAATTTCCTCGTAACCCTTTTGATGTCATCATCATTATCGGAGAAGGGATCAAGACCTGATGTCTTACAATTCTCTCCACTCTTCTTCTTCTGTAAAAATATTTATCTATATATTATACTATATACTTCATTTATTTTATTATTAATCTGTATATAATTTCAATATATGTATTATATTTAATCAATAAATATAAATTATTATAAATTCGTTTCATATTTTTAACACGAAGAATTGAAAAATAAAAACTAAAAGCAGTTACTAACATAACTATAATTTATATATTATATAATAAGAAATATAATAAAAAACTAATATAATAATCGAAACGGAAAAATAAACAATTTTAAACAAACAACAAAATTGGCGCGTAAGTAGATAAAAAAAAAATGGCAAACATAAAAAAACCGCTCGACAGGCGAATGTTAAAAGAAATTATTATCTTCCCTAACCCGAGTTGACCCAGCCGCGACTATTTATTAGCGACGCGGTGAAGCGTATTGATATACGATGTATAAAATAACCTAAAACATTGCAAAAACATATAATTCATACAAAAACATTCATACATCTGTCATACAAAGGATATATTCTCACACTACAGTAATATATATACATAAAAACTCACACATGCATATAACATAACCTATATAGTGTTAGGATCTATCGATTTAAGTGTAATGGCTCAAAAGCTTTCATATACGCGCAAATGTCTAACACTAATCATTCCACCAGTACAAAACTAGACGCTTAGTTTACTAGCCTTCGGCAACATTTGCAATCACGATTGCAATTCTATGCAATATATACGCATAATATATATGTACTAACTCTATTACCATACATTACAATCTGGCTTACAAATAATGCAAAAATTATCCTCATAATCCTTTAATAGTTACTGCAATACTGCAACACGTAAATAAATACATTACGCACACATACACGACTTGCTATCTCCTTTAGCGATACAGAACACATACATGTATATAATTGCTAACATATGTCAATGGAAATATAAAAAATATATAAAGATCTAATTATCAGAAAGTAACCTAAAATAACCCTGTTCCGGAAGCAACAATGAAATAGGCGGGTTAACCTAGGTCATACAAGTTGACTACTTTCGCTCTGTTGTCTATCATAACAAACTATCTGTGATGTCATCGGTTTATCGGAATTATATATTTATAGAAAAATCATTCTTTCACTCATTAATATATGTATAAAATAATCAAATAAGTCGATGGTAGAGGTCAAAACATTCGGTTCGCCAAACACATCCTAGGTTGACAATGTTCTTCTTAGATTGTTGCAAACATGGCGACCGATATCTGGGCTTCTCACAGAGTCCGTGGACACAAAATCATGTAACAAACCTAGTGCAAAGCAGTGTAACGTAAGCAAAAAATATCATAAGCGATTTCGACACAGTCCTATTTACAAGTGTGTCTAGCCGCCAAACGAATTAACTTATCACTTATATATTTTTTCATATGATTCTCTACATTACAAAGACCTGAAAAACCAGTATGGTTGCGTAAAGTACTATGATTTTCTGTTATAACTTACCAATGCTGCTGCGTATAGTTCCTTGTAATTCAGCTCTGGATATTTTGTTTCGTCACTTACGTCTAAATTTATAGACAATCTCAATGTTTTATTTACATTATTCTTTGCACTTTTTGGAGCACCCGCTGTTATAAGACTAGCACGTTTAGGGTCCGACATTTTCCACCAAAATCAAGTATAAAATGATTTTTTTCAAAGCATGACACGGCCTGCATTTTCAAACTGTGTACCACATTGCCACCATGTTGAAATTTATTGTTTGGGTTGTGAGCGCCACGGACGTAATTGAAACTACAAAAGAGTTTTCTCCTACTGCCGTTAGATGTCGTTACTATATTGTGTAGTTAGTAATAGAGGGCACTGTATCGATTATGGAAATATCAAGTTTTACAATGTTTTCAGTCAATAGAAATTATTTTTAAATGATTCTTCTGCATTAATCTATTATTTAGTTTATAATAGTTACAGAAATTTAAGCGTTGTATATGATTATTTAAAAATTCACCATCAGCTGTTTTTAGCGCAAGTCAAACTCCCAGCATCATTTGCATAACAACTACGTAGTTTAAAGTTCTGCCAACAGATGACTTTTTGAAGCACAGATGAAAAATAATTTTAACAATGAACTGTTTTACCTATGTACTACGTTGTGATTTAATAAATAAAAAGTAAATAAATAGTGTATTACCAACATTTTAATTAAAAAAATAAAATTCTTTGAATTGTTATTGTTAATTACAATAAGTTTGTTTATATGTATGTACAAAAGAGGTGGTACATGTTCATTGCTAGTATAGGTTGAGTTGTTATCAAAAAGTACGTAATCATTTATAGACCAGCTGTTTTTTTTATTTTTATGTTAATATGTTTATGTACATAGCTGGTTCATTATTTAAACAACTGGTTTATGTCGTCGTTAGCCGTTTTGCTTATGGAAACGAAATACTGTGATTAAACACTTGTGACTAAAATAAATTTATTTGAATAGGCAATTTAATAAGATTTTTGATCTTGCCTTTTTGAAATGATTGTAATTTATAGTTTTTTTTAATTTAGTGAGACGTAACTTTATTTTTATATAATGTAGTAAATAAAAAAAAACTAATCTTAATTGGCTGTACGGTACTTTGTACTGTAGGTCCTTTCTAACTTAATAAAAAATGAACTGCAGTTTTAAATATACATTCCTATGTGTACCAAAGGAAAATTTATATATTAATAATATATTTATTTTTGAACTATAAAATTCAAATTGAATTAATTGATTGTAGGTATATCAATTATTATTATCCGACTTTTAATGACTTTTATGTCTATGAAGTCTCTTGTCAAAATATATTAATAGGAACATAGATAACAAATAAGTAATGGAATTTAAAAACTACAATATTTTCGTCTGAAAAAGAAATCGTGAATGTAACGGAAGATTATTTTTTTTTGAGAATAAATCTAAAAACACAGGGGAAAAGTTTTGATAACATCGATATTAATATATTCTTTACAGTTACTGTTACTTTATATACCTAACTTGTTTTTAAAATCTTCTATATATATAAAAATGGATTGCTGTTCTTTAGTCTCGCTAAAACTCGAGAACAGCTGAACGGATTTATCTTATCTTAGTCTTCAAATGTTCGTGGAGGTTTAGGGAAGGTATAAAAGCTGAAAAAATTGATTTATTACTGGGAAAACCATAAAAACAGCCCTTTTCTATTTCCCATACAAACGTTCTCTTTGACATTAGATTTGACAACTAACTAATATGTCAATCATTCTGTCGCACTTCAAAACACGGAGATTTATGGCTTACAGGTAAACTCCAAAAATATAAATAAAGAAACGTAATAGATATTTCTTGATTATAGGGCGATACGAAGTTCGCCAGGTCTTCTAGTAACTAATAAATGGCTTATATTGTTTGCTTTTCTCCATATGTATTATCTGTGACGGTAAATTATTTCGAAACCATTCAACTTCAACCACATAACTTGAACATTTTTCGTTTATCTATCGTTGTCACATTACATATTTCTGCCAAGTAGGAAGGTATGGAAGGCGGTCAACTTAGTTCTCATCAGATGATGTAGAACTTAATTTATTAATTACTATCAATGTCCGCCTCTTCGTCAGAGTTAAACACTTATGTTAGAGCTTACGGTTCCTTGGGAAACCAACATCCCTAAAGACCATGCTATCAAAGCCAACAAGTATTACGAGCTCACTAACGAACTTCTTAAGAGAATAGGTTCGTCGTAAATTTGTACGCGGTAGAAGTGAAGTACAACAGTTAAATCTCTTTACAACCTACCAAAAGACTTGGGCTTGTCCAGAACTAATATCAATTCTTTCTTAGTACGTACCTCGAAGGCAAATGTTGTGGGGTCGTTAAAATTGGTTAGGTAGGGAGAGAGGAGCTAATCTCCTATTTTACAGCAAGTTTGTAATCAAAAATAAAAAACTTGAAGTAAAATCCGAAAATATTAGTTTCATTTAAATGAGTACTCGCGAAAATCTTAGATCTCATTAAATATATATTTTTAATAACAACAAAAACTTTAAAACTTTTCCATATTTAATCTTTTCTCTGCAATGAAAGAAATTTCTAAAATGGAGTTAGTGAATAATACCGCGCTTATTCAATTTCTTTGATAACGGGTAGTAAAATATACAGGGTGACTGGTGAATTACTATCGATATTTGAGGACGTGATATTTGACGATCATATATGACAAAATAAAAATTAATATAACATAAATATCAATAAACTTCTAAGTAAAGTTAACCAAAAGTTATGTAATTAATTACGCATCGTGTGAACACCCTACAGATTAGGTATACACACACACACACAGACGCGTGCGGCGTCGTGGTGTTGTATCATCACGCCGCCGCTCGCGACCACACTTGGAACACTTGGAACGTGTCCACACTTTATTTATTTATACGGAAATTTGGTCAAAAATTAAGTACCTATTTTTTTACATAATTCGAATGAGAATCATGTACCGAGTATTCTCCTTTAATATTGATAGTAATTCACCAGTCACTCTGTATATAAATAGCGCTCATATTTAAGACACAAAAACTAATATTATTTAGATCAACACTTGAAATGGTTATATCATTTTTTTCATATATTATTGTGAAATGAATTATGATTATTAATAAATAAGACATGATAAAAGATATGACTATTATTTTGAAATGTGGGTACGCCTTTATGTTATAACTAGCTTTCCGCTCAAGTCTATCTCTGTTCGAAATTTCATTAAAATGAGTTCAGTGGTTTAGGCGTGAAAGCGTAACAGACAGACAGACAGAGTTACTCTCGCATTTATAATATTTGTAGGGATATATAAAGAAAAAGATATTTTATCTATACTAATATTATAAAGCTGAAGAGTTTGTCTGTTTGTTTGAAAGCGCTAATCTCGGAAACTACTGGTTCGAATTGGATAATTCTTTTTGTGTTGGATAGCCCAGTTATCGAGGAAGGCTGTGGCTACGACCAATAGGAGCAAAGGTATAGTGGTAAATGTGTAAAAAACGGGAGAAATTATTTCATCTTTGAAGCCTTCCGTTGCGTGCGCCGTGAAAACGGTTCAAGATACACAAAAAATATGTATTAAAGAATAATAGCTCTTTTAATGATCTAAAAAACAGTCCGCGTCAGTATATGTCTATCTTTTAAGATTAACTCACAAAAACCATTTTTATGGTACTTAATTTGGTCGAAATAATTTGTTAAATTTGTATCAAGATAAATATTAATCTTTATTCAAATAAACAAATAAATATGTTGTTGGTTAAGAGTACTTCATTGTGAATAAAAAAACATAGGTTTTATCCTTAAAATTCTACGGGAACTCGACCATTCCGAAAACCCCACAAGAACGGGAACTATGTGGGAAGAACCAAAAATCTGCCGTAAGTCACTATTCCACGCGAACGAAGTCGTGGCAAAAGCTAGTTGTATATATGTGATAACATTTAATGTTATTTTAAATAAATCTCATTAGCTTCCTTATTACATATTTATGATGTTTTTTATAACTCTAATTACGTTTTTCTGTTACATTAGAGAATTCCTGAACTTTATGACATGTATTTATCAACATAGATTTCCAAAAGTTTTTTATTAAACATTATCTTCACCACGTTTCTAAACGGTGTTTTGAAACTTGGCCGTACTTAAAGTTTAGTTCACTAATTAGACATCAGATCAAAGTGTGTTATTAAAAAAAATTACACTATCAGCGGAATGGGAAGGTTGATGAGTTGGACGTTATGGAACCGAGATTTCTATTAAGATAAAAGACATTAGTCTTGCCTTGTACGTTTTAGTCGGGATAGTACTTGAACCAGTCGATTTTTTACCGGTATATACCTACATGGCATTTGTGTGTTACTGGTATGGCATTTTATGCATATGCGAGTGGACCAAATATAAGAATTACATACATTAATTGTCAAGAAATGTTCTGTAAATAAAAAGTTTATGGTTTGCTTTTTAGATTTAGGTATCTACAATTTAAATAAAACGAATGTCCGTTACGGAAATAGCAAGTAAATAGGAAACAATTTCATTCTTTAAAACGAAGCATAAAGTAGACATTATTTTAGGGATTCTAAGATAAACGACGGCATTGAGAATATTATTCATTACGAAAAATGAAAATTTGGCCGCCTCTACGCCATTTTTCCCACAGATTCGTCGTTCGGAAAACGTCAGCGGAGCGTTTAAGATTTGTAAGGAGTTTTAATGTCACGGTAAATTGATTAAACTCCTTAAAATTTTATCATCTTGAATGAGCTTTGGGTAATGTGATTAGATTTCTGAGCGAACCCTAACTGCTCCTTTTCATTTTCGGTTTCTGTATAATTGTACCATTTTTGAATAAATGAATTTAAATTTTGTATAAAATCATATTTATTTGAAGCTTTTGTTCCTTGTGAAATAATGTTTTTGTACGATTGGTATTCTTTATTTTATTACCTGACTTTTATACACGTATTCTGGGTATAATTAATAAAAGTAATCATTTACTATTGCCTACGCAGTAAGTGTTCACAAATAGTAATTTGCATTAATAAATTTAACACAATTAAGTATTTATTAAGTTGGTAGTTATTAAAGAAGTTTTATGATTATAATATCT